GTGTATGAATGTGATAGACTCTGATAGGCAGGTGTCACTTAGCCCCTGCCATCAGTGTGTGAATGGGTGAATGATGACATGTAGTGTGAAAGTGCGTTGAGTGGTCAGAAACACTAGAAAAGCACTGTACAAGTACAATCCAATAATGTTATACAAGGGGCTGAAAGATTTTGAAAGAAATATAGAACTGCAACTATTTTGACTGCAGTTGTGTTATGCCTTGCGATATTAGCGGAAGTGATCTTTCTTTGTTTTTGAGTTTATTATTTTCATTTTCATTGATAAATATAATAAAAAGATTATGGTGTGATTTTTGCAAAGATCTGTACCAAACAGAGATGTTGTCTTCAGTCTGTAGAATATGAAGTGTAGGCCAGGACATCTCTACAGCTCCACAAGTCTAAAATGCTATTCTGACAAATGTCCCTTCCTGCGATTAGAAGATTGCAGTATAGTACATATTGCTGATTATCATAACATTTTGGTTAAAACTAAAGCCTTAGTTATAAAATAATGTACAACCCAGATAGTAGACAGCTGTTTAACAACTGCATTTCTCAGCAGAAAAATGTTCCTGAACATGAAGAGCAAATGTTTCTTGAAAATTGGCCTCTCTGACAATCAAAACAATGTATTTCTGCAGTATTAATAATGGGGAAATACAAAAAAAAACGGATAAAAAACACAATTTTACCCAAACACTAAATCATCTACTTTCAGGAAGCACAACCATGTCAACCCTCTGAGATCCTCTACTCCCACTGAGTGAGCACCAGACACCATCAGCCGGCTGTGACCAAAACGCTGCACTGATTTTTCTTTCAGATCCCAGATCTGTGCAGTTATATTATTGAGTACAGTGTTCTCATAACCAACAAAACCATCGCCCCAAATTAATGATGTGTTAATAAACTGCAGTTCAACTTAAATTTTAATCTAAAGAGACTTTTAATATCTGCAACTAAGAGATTCTTAACCCAGTGATTTATTTTTCAGCTATATTTCTGCATTAGTGTGTAAGAGTGTAAATCCAGTGCCCGATATAACATGTTTACACCTTAAGGTGTGTACTCCTCTTTACATCTCTGACACCAGAGAGAGAGACGCCACACGCAGCTCAAACATCCCTCCAACCTCCCAGAGGGCCTTGCTTTCCAAGAAATGGGTGTCCTCTTGGGGGACGTCCTTCGGTTGCAGAGCAGACAAAGCGGCCCTGCTAACCGGGCCACGCCTTAGCCCCTCCAGCACCGGCACACATCATTATCAACTCATTCATCATTACAGACCTGAGCTTCTGTCTCCGTCACAATCTGCATTTTAAAGTGATCACAAACATATGTCACACGTGGAGTGTTATCTGTTTCCAGTGAGTCAGTCTATGTAATGTATCGCTCCTCATTGAAACACAATCCCTCACCTCTGACAGGCCTCACACCGTTGGGGGTTGGGGATAGTGTGTTTGTGTGTGTGTGTGTGGTCATTTTTGTATGCATATATGGGTGTCTTGTTCAGAGGCCCTCTTTAATTTATCACTACTGTCACAAGCAGCCAAATGACTGAGCTGCTGCTCAGATTGAGCTGTGATGTGTGTCAGTGAACTGTAGGCGCCAACACATAACAATGGAGCAATTTAGCTTTTTATGTTCCAGTTTCTCCCAATTGTCTGATGGGACCCAAGGGACGAATGGAGCTCAGGCTGACCAGGCATCACGTTTCGGCTTTGACTGACATGTCACTTAACGTGTCAGTGATTACATTACAAAATGATTTCCTCGTATGTTGTTGCTGTTGACGACACAGACCATCATAATGGGAGTATTGTAGCTGGTGTAATGGGGACAGTGGAAATGATATACTACAAATCAGATTTGTGTTGTAGTTTAATTTACTAATTAAAACATAGTCATCTATTCTATTGACAACTTATTCTTCATATATGTTTACAATCTATAATTTGTTTTATTTACTTTTGTATGGCTAATGGTTAAAGTTGGCTGATCACAAATCCAGCAGACACAGATAACGTCAGCATTCATTTAGAGCAAATCAATCCTTATATGTCGTGAAACACACTTTCCTTTTAGCTCTGTTCTGAAAAATATCTGGTGTTCTGTGCATCTGTCTGCTGTTTTATGGACAGATAATGTAAAGTATCTTTCTTCCAATTAAAACAGCTGCCTGCTGCTGGAAGGAGGTTGATGAAGCAAAACAGTAAAGTTGTGTCAATGTGTTTGTTACAATTGTAATTATATCGTGGGAGCCAACTCAGATAATTACAAAGGACAAGTAACCAATCAGGTGTCAGGGTTAGCTAACTCTGAAGTGCCTTAAACTTGCATTCTCTCTAGTGTCCACCAGGGGGCGACTCCTCTGGTTGCATAGAAGTCTATGAGAAAATGACTCTACTTCTCTCTTGATTTATTACCTCAGTAAACATTGTAAACATGAGTTTATGGTCTCAATCTCTAGTTTCAAGTCTTCTTCAATCCAGCATGATGTTCATTTAGTACATTATGGTCCATTTAGAGTCAAACAGACCATAAAGCAGGGGATGCTTTAGGGCGGGGCTACACAGTGATTGACAGTTTGCTTCCACAGCGTTGTCTAGTTTGAGAGATGTTAGTGTTTTTCGTCTTACAACTTTAACCCTTTCACATTCTGTTTTCAGTATATGCAAGTTAATTGTAACATGATGGTTGCCTAAAAATTAGTATCACTTCTGCTTGCAAAAAACCAAGATGGCGAGGCTCGAAGCTCAAAACAGTTGTGCACAAAACAGTGAGTGAAGTCACGGTGACTATGTCCACTTTCTATATAGTCTATGTTTGATGCTGAGAGGAAGATCCAGTGGGGTAGTCTAACCCTGTCTAGTCAAGTCAATAACTACAGAATGTTCTTTCCAGTAATGATAAAAACACATTATCATCCTTGATATTACATATCAGGCCTCTATCATGGAAAAATACATTAATAATACAACAATTTAATTATGAATTATTTTGTTGGACTAGCATTAGCATGAAAAGCTTGATAACAATTGGCATCATAATGGGTTTAAAACTAAGCACGGCCTCTTTCTCGTAGTAACACTCAGAACACAGCGGCTGCCCTCCATTGCCCATTGCCATAGCAACAAGGGTGTGGGGCGTAGTCACCAGCAACAGTGAAGCAGAGGCAGATAGAGAAAAGGCTCTCTATGGGGTGAGAGTGTGTGTGTGTGTGTGTGTGTGTGTGGTGGATAACCCGGTCCCTTGGGTTTCATTAGTACAATCTAATGAGCTCACACACTAACACACACTAAGAAATGAGAGGTTGTACGTGTGCGTGTGCGTGTGCGTGTGTGTGTGTGTGTGTGTGATGGAGAATGAATTGAACAATCACGTGTTCCCATCTCTACTGATAGTGGACACAAAAGGGTGAGGGAGCATAACAGACACAGGGAGAGGGGGTAGAGCGGGTGTGGTGGTGGGGGGGAGTCGATCCATCAGAGCCCCGCCCAAACCAAATGAGCCGTCCCAGAATTCCCCAGTGGCCTTGATGACATCATCCATTGCTGCTCCCCTCGCTGCCTCACGCATTATTCATCTCTACACACACACAAATCTTTAGCACGTCACACTTTCTGCTCTGATTTGGCATTAGAGGGCTGTGTGCAAATAATAAAGCTTGAATGGAGAGCATTAAACACGCAGCTAGTCAAATCTGCCCAGAGGTGGAGTGTCATGAAACCCAGAGGCTTGGTCAACCCTCCTGCATGAGCACATCAAATACCGTATACACACAAAAATGAACGACTATTACCAGAACAAAAGAAACATTCAGGCTCCCTCATGTGGCTCAAAGGTGAACTGCAGATAAACATCTTAAAAAGATAGAAGACAATGCAAGAAATTCTTCTGATATAATCTCCTGCGACCCACCTGTGGGTCCCGACCCAGTCTTTGGGAAAGTCCGGTTCCTATTAAACCCTATCAATCCGTATGTACTACAAGTAAATCATGTCTAACAAAACAAAAATAACTGACACAAAGAAGTCATGTGCCAACAGAAAGCAACTGAAAGCAATAAAATCAGAAACAATGCAAGGTTTTGCACTTTCATAATGTTAGGGGTCTTGCCAGAGACAGATTTACAAAACAATGACCAAATTTAAAGCAGCAGAGGCCAAGATATCCTGACTAGTTGAAAACTAGTGGATCCTACATTTCCTATGATGCCACCAATCGCTAGCTTGTTGGTCCTCCCTGTGGTGACTAGTGTTCACACAGGATGTCTGGCAGGAGAATGGGGGCTGTTCTCTAAAGGATTGTTGCTCAATAATCAGTCATTTTAAAACTGTACACTGTTTACAGTCATACAGAAATCCATATTAGACGTATAACTAATGTTTTCTATATGTTTCGATTGCATTAAATAAGCATTTTTTAGCAAACTATAAATCATATGATGAAAAAATATGATTCTCAGTAAAGTGTTCTAGATGCATCTGTTTGGTTTCCAATTAAACTGAGCGTTTTCTCTATGAGAGGGGGGGGGGGGGGGGGGGGGGGGGGCACGGCATGTAGTCATCACACTCCTAACTGACAGGTTTAATTAGAAGGCCTCATGGAGAGGAACGTTGAGCTTCAAAGCTGCAAACAAAAGACAGTTAACTTCAGTGAAAATACCTAAAGCCTGGACAGATGAACAGCTGTGAGGGACAGTGAAAAGGTCTGCGGAACATAAACTGTGTCTGTCATATGAAGCAAAAACAAGCATCATTTCCACCAACCAAGCCATTTGGTTCTCACACATTGTCCATTTTTGTACTCTTTTACACCAAAATGTACACCAAAACTGCATCAACCACCATTGAATTCACATAAAGATTGCTTCTGAACAGTTGACCTGCTGTACAGTTCCATGACAAGACAACAGCATAACGGAGCACACGGAGCTCAGAACAGATCCATGAAGCCAGTTGTTCATAGTGAGGCTGAGACCCACCAGTCCAACCTTACCTGGCCTGTTGCTCCAACCACCATGCCTGTGCTCATGGGTGCTCCCAAAGAGGCCACAACACCCCGGGGTGAAATATATCCAATGCGTGTATGACTCGGTGCGTTGGAGCCAAGATGCCAACGTGCGTACTGTGTGTAATGTGTGTGTGTGTGTGTGAGCAAGATGGGGGGGGGGGGGTGCAGGAAGGTCTTTCCGACTGTGAGTGGATTAGTGTGTAACGTGCAGGAGGTATTAACACACCGCGGCCGACACACAGACACACACATGGATGTGTGCACAATGAGGAGTGTGTGCATTCTTAGAGGGGATTATGTGGACAAAAATAGAGGAGTCTTTTCTACTGACCTAGAATCAGACTGGTGCAATAAAGACACAATGGAGGGCGGACGAGCCAGAGTGCACACACACACACACACACACACACACACACACACACATACACACACACACACACACACACAGGTAATGTGTAAACACCACCTGCTGCATTCTCTCTTGGGTGTTGTTCTTACACAGATTTTCTTTCACTTTACTTCATAAGCAATGACCAATTATTGTAATTTATAATCACATTACAATTCATTATAACGGTGAATATAATTTATTATGAAAAGATCATAATCTATCACAGCAATGGGAATTATAATACATTACGATCCTTGCACAAAAAGTCTCAGTGAGTGACAAACAATTATAAATAATTCCGCTTTATGACCTTCTATGTTATTATGTAATGTATTATAATGTGTCATAATCATTATAATAAAGCGTTACGGATATTTATGAGTGCTTATAACTATATTTATACAGTGCAATAAGTACATTATTATACACATTATCAGCATCTACATAATGCATCATAGACTTCGGCATCACAGAAAGTGCTAGTGAAAGGATCATTTGGGACCATGTGACGCCTACTGAGGTCCAGCTTGTTCTCACTGGTGATGAGAAAGAAGTATGATCACATTATGGGCATTCCCTTTTAAAGGGGCACTCTGAGTTTATAAATAAGAATCAGTTTAGGGATCATGAGGAGCGCTGATAAAATGGTTGCATAATGTCTTCTGCTTTGTCCAGTCTGAGAAACTAACCCTGGTGATGTCATAGTGATGTCATCAGGGATTTGAATCAGTTCATTTTAAAAGAAAGTAATGTAAAAAGAATTGGGATGTGGACTTTGAAGACATACTGTAAGTTAGTGACACTGATATGAGCCATACATTGCAATGGATATTATTTATGTTTATTCATATGTACTATTTATGTATGTCTGCACTGTTTGTTATTTGTATCTTGTAAATACTACAAGATACACTACTACAAATACCATGATTACATTCTATTACTTCAATAATGTCATATTAGCTATTGTTGTATAGATGCAGTATAATAGTCACTGGAGCTCTACTGTAAGTTCCAAGTCGTGCGTGTACAAATTATCGTCCATATCTCAGGAACAGATTAGAGCCGCCTTGTTAATCAAAACCCACCGTCCTGCCCCGGAGGATTTATAGGGTTTATAAGGCTCGTTGCATCATCTGCTTATGGCTGCATCTGTGGTTACACCGCTGGTCTGGGGCCAGACATCTTTACTTTTTCTTAGAGGTATCACCTAAGGAAAAGGACATCATGCAGCTTGATTGATGACATATTTATTGTTGAGCTGTCACCAAGGCAATTTTTATCTGTTTGACAGTTGAATGAATTTATTTCCTCTGTGTCAATGATATACTGTACGTTACACGAGTCACTGCTGCTGAACTGGGCTAACTAAAAACTTTTAGGGCTGATCAACTCAAAAGGCACTATAGACTTGCTCGAAGACACTAGCCTAGCAACATCAAATCTAAAACAACCCATAATGCAACACTCTTGCCCTTATGTTGTGTTATGAATAGAAAATAGTAAATAATAAAGTGTGCAGCTTAGATCAGTAATATCTACCTGTGAGTGAATGAACTGGTCTGCTTATGAAAGAATTATCCTATAGAAAATAAATCCATGTAAATACATACCTCAAATATATCCCTAATTGATAGCTTCTGTTTATATTAAAGATTCAGAGTTGGAGTGAATCACTGCATAAAATCACATACATTAATATCGGCAGGAGTAAACAAATGGCTCCTGATATAGAAGTATATACAGTGAACTGCAGCACCCTTATGTAACACACATTTCAACAAGAGGTCGAGAGGATGGGGTTCATGTCCACCATTTGAAAGAATCATTTGTAGTTTTCTGGGCGGATATAATCTATACAGATACTGTATGTCTATAATGGGAAGAGACATGGAGCTCTATTGGCTCCAGTCGATTTCTGTTACATAACGGTGATTGTGTCGCTTATATTCTGCTGCTATAAAGATAATTGTGTTAACCGTTCCAGGAACTAAATGACATCCTCTGTATATCTGTGAGTCCAGTACTGGACTCACAGAGATGAAATAGATATTGATATTTCCATCTGACCCTGGGTAAAACAGCAAGTAATTACTGATAAGCTTTAGAAAAAGCGTCCTGTAACAAATGATTTTATCTTTAATTTGAATTATACCGATGCAAAGAAATGCGTTTCACATATAACCCACATCATTGGGGCCAGGAGGTGGAAAGCTGCCGCTGAGGAAGTCAGGTGACGCAGTATTTAGAGCAACAAAGTCCTTGTATAGAGGAAGTAGTGGAGGATGGGTCAAACAAACACAGGACTTTCACACAGGTGACCGCTGTTTGTGTCCTGTGCATACTTAACTAATGCAACCCACCTACGTAACTAATTTCCAAAATATGTTGTCTAGTAATGCCCGAACAGGCTCACACATTCTCAGCCATCCCGCCTTCATCACTGCCACAATGATGCATTACAGCTTTCTTTGTAATCATTTCAATACAGTCCATAATCCATTAAACACATCATATATGGGATATTAATACATATCAAAATAACAGGTAGACGCTTAATGGATCCTTTTTTGTCTTCTCTAAATCTAAAGGACTCCTCTCGTTGTTAAAGACATTTTAACAACAATTCTACTACTATCCAAAAGCCCCAGTGTCTAGTATAGTAGTCGATTCAGGACTCGTGTAGTGAGGAGCCTCTGTCAGCAGGTGCCGCCACAGCTGAAGCATCACTATGAATATTTACAAGCCTCATACTCCTCATGATATTGTACTACACTTTTTGGTGTGTCTCATCACATAATGATTCAACTGTAGATCACAGAATAAAGCCTCTCACTTTATTTAAAACAAACTGGTGTTTATTGTAATAATAGAAACTAAAGCAATCTCTATGAGCCACAGCTCAACTCCAACGTCCACAGACGGAGGCTGACATTTGGGCCCACCATCCCCCAACAGCCTGTAGTCATGTAAGAAACACACGCACACACACACACACTAACACACGTTTTTCCCTCGTACATATGCAACAGGGAAACACATATACATGAAAACAGACAACATACAGAGGTGATCGTCAGGTACATTCACGCGCACACATACACACCGCGCCCTCGATGGGGTATTGAATAATGGATGCAGGCTAAGGGGGGGTGGGAGGTGATTATTCAGCACCGCCTCAGGACACTAGAGGTGGGGGTGCAGAGGAGCACACACTTATTACACATCTTGAGAACACGTTTCCATTTGCTGTATTGAGGGTCTGGATTGCAAACACACAATCTTCTTTCTTTGGACATCCTGCAGAGCTGTAAGGGTTAAAAGTACCCACTCGGGTCAATCAGTGTTACTGATGGCAGGTGAAGGATGCATGAGGGAGGCAGGGCGTGTGTGGGTAGGTGTGTGTGTGTGTGTGTGTGTGTGTGTGTGTGTGTGTCAGACCAAGTAAATATGATGCATTGGACGGGAGGAGGGGTCAAAGGTGACTTGATAGAGATTCACCATGGGATGAAAACGCAACTTCTGCAGCTACCTGCCAACCTTTTGTGAATTATTACACAAGAGCAGAATTACACAAAATTACACAAGAATTATTACACAAGGCCTTGATTAAAAATTCAACGCTGTGACAGTTTATATACTGCATGTTATTCAGATAAAGGTGTGTGTGTGTGTGCATATATACATATACATGAGTTTATATTATGAGCAAGCAACGGGACATTCTGAGCACAAAAAAATAAAGTGCACACATTCACACGCTTATTTTGAAGAATAAATATTATTATGCAAAGAATAATTACATTTTAACAAACAGCACTCTATTCGGTATTTGCATGTTTGCTATTAATCAAAAAGTCTGTTTGTCTGCATGCTCAACCTTTTTTTATAGAAAGCTGGAGGTGGACATTTTCTCTTATAAGATTTATAGTTGAAGTGTTGGATTGTTAAATATAAAAATTACGTGTGTCATTGAAATTGAGTTTGTGAAAGAAAAAAGATTTTAAGAAAAGACAAGAGAAAAGAAAGGATAGTTGTAAAGAGCATATAGGATGGGGTCTTTCACATGTACAGAGGGGTAATAGCCTCTATGACTCAGATTTACTCATTTGCCCTTTCTGACCATCTCTAACAGAGTGTTACTTTGTACCACAAATTCAGCCAAATAAAGAACTGAAGTCTTTTTTGTTTCGCTGTTTTGTCTCCAATCCTATCACTAGTGGGATTATTGTAACTAGGGAGTCACTGGGAGGTGACTGGATGGAGTAGGCACACCACAGCCACACAAAAGAAGTTTGATCAATTTACAAACGTCCAAGGTTATCACCGTACACTTTTGTAGATAAATTAACCAAGCACAAAATAGTTTTTTGTTTGCTCAAATTGTTATTTTCAATATGATCATTTGAGCGCTTTTGCAACACCCAAATTCCCCTCTAGGGATTGATAAAAGCTTGATTTATTTTATATATCTTAATTTATGTGCTCACAAAACATATTTTCCGTGCTCAAAATATTCCAAAGCACACAAAAAATGTAGGCACAAATGTGGCTCCATACATTCTACCTAACTAACGTTTACAAGAAAACTCTTCTGTGGCACCTCAGTAGTAAGTCTCAATTGGGCTGGAAGCTTTAACTCACACTAGTGTAATATACACTAATTAAAGAAGAGTCTAGCTAGAACTAAATCAGGCAGTTTAGTGGAAATTAAGCTGTGCCACCCAATGACCGTGTCTGTCCGACCAATTAGACAGTCTGTATCCTTCGGCTATGCAGAAGACTCCACACCAGAGCTGTTATCCTCTGACCCCTCTATTGTATTTGATTAAATTCTCATTTGGTTCCTTCATTTGAACACTGACACTGACCAAAACATCAACAAAGATCTCCAAGATACAGATGACAGCATTGCCTTGTCTTTCTTTCCTCTATGTCACTTCTGAGAAACAAAGGGTGGAAGGAAGCGAGTTGCAGTGGAAGATCTTGCGTAACAAGGCGATCTTTCTGTGTTGATGAATAGACTGGCCTTTTAGCATTTCGCTCTCGCTGCTCAGTGAGCTGCCATGTCTCCAGCGCTGCTCTCACATGTGTGACTGGCCTTGTCTGTTGAAATGGGCTTTAATTCATCCTCGGCCAGGCGCTTCCTCTGAATTTAACCCTGTGACATGCACAAACTCTGGAATGTGAACGCCCAACAACATGACTCAAGGCACATACACACACTACTGCTGACAATACGATGGGGTAGCAGTATTGTCAAGAACTTAGATACCCTACTGATCAACTCAATGACCCGTGGTTAAAGCTGGATGTTGAAAGCCAGATAGCCATTGTACTTTTATCTCTATATTTTCTTATATGTATTATTTGAGGAGACATTGTATAGCATCCAACATTTATCTGAGTAAAAATGCTAAATCTATAGTGTCCCAATTAGGTTAGATGGACCATTATTCTTAAATTCTTGTCTAGTGAAACTCTTCTTGACCTCCAATGGAGGATGTATGTAAAGGAAAATGCTGTTGATTACAAACTTTAGTTTTATATTCATAGCTCTGGCCATCGGTTCTATAAGTTATGATAACATTGTACTTACCAAATAAATGGCAGAGATCTCGTGTCTAAAAAGTAGGGCCGACAAGGAAACAAACACAAAAACGTCTGATGATCATTTAGTTTGTAGAAAAGCTAAATTTGTTTGGAAGTGAGTGCGAATGGTCAAACTATTAACCATCTAGTGTAAACATTCACATCAGACAGAGACTTCCTGCTTCCATTTTGTTTACCATACCTGGCATTAGGTCTGCGCTCACTTTTGGTTTTACTTCCAAATAATGTTGTAACTAATTTGGCGAAATTGTGATTGTTTACATCCTGTTTGTTTTTCTGACTGCTCATCTTTCCTGCCCTGTTGTACCATATTAATCAGTGATGTCAGTGATCTCAGCGATTATTTTGGTGAGTACAATGTTACTATAACTGACTGAACCAATGGCCAGAGCTACGACAATAAAACCCAAACAGTCATAAACTGTAGTTATCCTTTAAGCATGTTAATACTTATGAGGGACCCTCATACTTCAGTTTGTTCACTGCTCATCCTTTGTCTCAGCACAGGCTGGGACATACAAGTAAATTAAATACTAATCACAAGACAAGCATCGTGCTGTTCCCCTGGGTTCTAATCGAGGTCCTCTTCCCTTTCAGTGAGTGGAAAAGCATGTTCTGCCATAAATCCCTCAGGGACAGCTAAGCTGTTAGCTTCACACTGTCTGTGGAGTTAACAACATGTTTTGAGCAGACCCTGAAGAGCAGAAGGACCGGCTTATTTAAGGGGACCAGTCTTTAACTTGCCTTGGGTAACATATTGCAATACAAATAAATCTTAATCTACACAACATTGCTTAGAAATCTATCTTCATCCATCTTGAATCTTAATTGCTGTAAAATAAAGCAATTCAATGTGAAAGTGATATCATGTCTCCATCCTGCCTGGAATCTATCTTAACCTATCTTCTGATCAAAAGAATAGCAATTCTGAGGATTTTCAACAAATCCTTTAATCAAATGGTCAAACTGACATACATTGGTGATCGGTAAAGAGGTGCAAAGGAGGTAAAGTGTTCATAATTTCATATGACAGCACCAAGAACAGTATTCTTCTTTTGCTTTGGGCTCCTTGTTAATGAACAAGAAGGGAAAAAAGGCCAAAACATTCTCACATGGCCCTTTGTCAGGACCTGTGTGGTGTCCCAGATGCTGTGTCGGATGACTTCTGCTATGACACACAACCAGCACTCGATGCTCATTTTCATTATAGCAACACCGTACAACTGCTGGGTCTGGCCATTATCAGGCCGATCCTGGCATTAACAATTCAAAGTGTGGCTTGACAAATGGAAATCAGACAAAAGCTGTTTTTTGAATGTAACTCCTCCCCTGTCACACTACTGCTTTATCATGTTGCACAGCGAGAAGTGTCACTCAAGCATTTCTAATCCACAAGGGGGAAATTCAGGTTTTACTCCAAAGCAGCAGATTTAGCAGGATGTCCTGTCTCACTCTGTGTGTGACTGTTCATCTATATGAGAAGGGCGAGAATAATATTGAGGTGCATCTGTATCGACGCCTGTGTGTGTCTGTGTAGCGTGTGGCGAGGCTGTGCCAATGGGATTATCGGAAACAAAAGCTTATGTTGGTGGAGAGGCCCAGTGAATGGGGCCCGCTACAGAGCCAAGCTAACTGGATTAGCCCAACCACTGTGGGCTACACATTCATTAAGGCTTCTTGGCTTCATGCCTCCAAAGACACAGATGGACTATGAGGGGAGGAGGCAGGGTAAAGGGAAAGTGCAGAGAGGGATGTTGAAAAGACGAGGAGGCAGGTGGATGTGAGAGTGAGGCTGACGGATAAATGAAAAGATAAAGCAAAAGAAAGACTCGGCCAAAGAAAGAAAGTAAATATGTTGCCGTCACAACTGCAACCACTTCTGGATAAATCATACAAATATATCAACATGGGTTTCAATTAGTGTCATGGCCTCCTCGGTCCTGTCAATGTAATTGTCCTTTGCTGTATTCATCATCTTAGTCTGTTCAACAGGAGGTATAAAGCAGATCGCAAGGAAACTGAAAAATGCCAGGAATAATCATAAACCAAATAAACCGAAGGATGACAAATAACTACAGTTTAAATTACAGTACAGTATATATTTTCTACATAAAGTATATCAAGCAACTAAAAACAATCATTCACGTTCAACCCTGAAAATATGTGGATATCAAACTAACATGCAATAGCAAAAAGATTTGTATCAATACAATGAGACTGCTTGTTCACTGCCAATGCAAACATCCATACTGACGTGAATGTGGGGTGCAATAGCATTTTATTGAAATGAAATCTAGTAATGCATCCACTTCTTAAATTTTGCAGATTGGGAAACCGATCCAAAATGGAATCAGCGATTGGATGAGCCCAACCCTACTGCAATCTGTTATTTTTTAATGTTTCAACATCTGCAAAAATCATCTATCAGAAAAATGCTTTTCCAAAAGGAAAAGGAAACCGTTATACCCAATATGCATGCCTTAGGGTTGAGGTCTAAAGATTTAAACCAAACTAAATATAACAGCAAAGGGAGAATTAGGGATGGAAAACACACGGGGCCTTTGAACGTAGTGTCCTAGGCTTTAGAGCAGAGGTGTCAAACTCATTTTCACCCTGGGCCACATCAGCATCATGGTTTCCCTCAAAGGGCCGGTTGTAACTGTAAGACTGTATAAGTGTAACTACTCCTAACATATTGGTATAAACTCTCTCTGCATTTGATTATTGTTTATTCAAGTGTAAAAATATTGTACATGCAGTTATATAAATGTAAAATGATATTTAAGCACATTTCTGTTATTATAACATAAATCATTTTAATTTAGGGTTAAGAAACCCACATTACTCTATCAAAGATCAAACACAAATATCATCAAACACAAGTTATTACATTAACTTTGTTGAAAGCTATTTTTGTCACCTCTCTGCATCACTAATGTCCCCGCCGTCGTCCCGTCCATGGCAGCTACATCCAAGAGCTCCTCACTGAGAGTCAGGTCTTATAAACATGGATAGATGCGCTGTATCCGTGTTGTCTGTGCTTTCATCAACAGCTAATGAAGAAGACGAGTACCTGCTCATCTCTTAGCTAGCTGTGTTGTTAGATTGCTGCTAGTTCCTGAACTCGGTCTGCGATGGTGTTTCTTCACAAACTGACATTTGTAAAAGTCTGTGTCTGGTCAGAGCTCACCTGCTCACATACCTTTAGCATGCACTGGGCTGTAGCTTTTGTAAATATATTGTGCTGTGATTGCACTCTGCATTTTAATTCTTGGACAATTTGATGTTTTTCTTGGAGGCTAAATTTAGCTCCGTGTTTGGTGTCAAAATGCCAACGTGAATTGTATCCTTCATCACCGACACGCATCATAACACAGAAGACAGACCCGTTTTTCTCCTTCAAGCACAAACATGTATTCGCTTTCCCATCTTTCATTACATCTTCTTCCCTCTGCATCAATTGTTCTCTTCGTGGACATTTTGGGATTATTTTTCAATCTTTTTCAACTCAATCACTTGTTGGAAAACCGCTTTACGGGCTGTTCCCTCTCCTGTCCACCTGTTGTGATAGTTTTAATGTCGGTACACAGACAACATGCTATCTCATAATTTCAACTTTCTATCTCATAATTTCGACCATGGGGATATTTTTATTTTCAAGTCTAACTTTAAATTTTTTTTCCAAAATTTAAAAAAAATAACCTTTTTTTTTTTTTTTCTGTTTTTGCTGGCGGATTCGCGGGCCACATACAATGACGTGGCGGGCCGGATTCAGCCGCGGGCCTTGAGTTTGACACGTGTGCTTTAGAGGGTAAAGAGACACACAGGCACAAAAGTACACACCAGCAAACACACAGAGGTAAAAAGCAACTAAATCAGAAGAGACAGAAGCCGGCGGTTATTGATTCAGTTCAAAACACAGCAAATAACCGTAGGAAATGAAAAGATACAGGGCACTATCAAAGCAGGATGGCCCTTTAAAAGCCTCCAACCGTATTCACCCAGCCTTTCAGTCCAATAAAAAATCCTACACCAGCAAATCTCCCCAAATCCCCAGCAGAACCCTCAGCATCCACAGAAAGGTCAATCTTCAATCAGGAAGCCAGTGGGAGGTGAAGAGCTGCAGAGGTCAGAGCCACAAAATGAAAGTCTTTTGAAGCTCTTCATGAGTCCAAACTGTAGAGAGGCCGAGGTCAAACACCAGCACGGTCAGAGGCTGATTTGGCGTGAGTGGTTACATCATGTACTGTAGCTCAGAGGGCTGCTGGGTAACCATTCTCTTTTATTCTCTGTTCCGGTGTTTATTCATTGATGTATTACTTGAGGCCCAGAGCCTGACCCTAAGAATCATACCCGTGTTTTCCTTAAATACGAATTATATATACTTCTATGTATTTTTTTCTACTGTACTATGCAGAAATACGTTTGCATTCATCATTGCCAAATAATGAAGTCTGAGCTTTTCAAACCAACCTGCATTTAAATGTGTTACTGAGCCACAATAATGTAGTTTGACATAAAAGTTCTCTTCACTCAAGGTCCATTCACTCAATTATTTCTGCAGCTTTAAGCTGTTGATCACCTATCAGCACGTTCCATGATTAGGTACACTAGGTCAAGTGATAACAACTCAACCATCTCCATGAAAACTGGGCTAGCTCCATCTACTGATGAAGGCCAGAAGTGGAAGCACATCAAAAAATCCTTTTGTGTGAATAGTTTTACAATTCATGTTGTTTACGTTGAAGGAAACATTTCATTTTTCTGTGTTTATGTAACGTAACAATGGAACGTAACAATCCTTTAATGTGAAGCATTTTTGGGAAGTCTGTTTCAATAGAGGGTTGTAAACTACATTATACATTACTTTTCTAACATTTGATGATGATTATTGATACACATTAATATATGCATTACAGAACAACTCATAATGACTTCACAACAGAGATGCACTCTGATATTCTTTTTGCTTCCTCGACCAGGTGAATTGTGCGAGGCTTCGCTGGATTGTTTGATCATAATACAAAGGAGACAAAAAGAACAGTGGGACTAATTGAGAGGAATAAGCACCAAGCATCCAGAAAACGACCTCTGACAAATAGCAACAAATGAACATTCAACTTTTTTTCTGACTAAGAGTCAGCATAGCAGCAAAGTCGCATTAAAGCTAAAGTGCAGAACATTTGTCTCCCCGTCTGGTAGTGAGAGTAATGAACACATGGGAGGGACCGTAGTGAAGGAGCAGCTAGGAGAATGGAGTAGATGGTCCAAACTCTGCTTTCAGAGGAGGGATTCAAGTTAATACATTTGCACGGGAAGACTTTAAGAGAGCGCTCCTTGGGAACATGCAGCGAGCTCACCTGCAGGCATACGTGCACCAGCGCGGCAAGGTCGCCATTGACACTGGACACCACAACTCCAATATAATCAGCATTGTGTGAACTCTTTTGGCAAGGGTTTGAATATAACATCTATGACAACGTTCATCGGAATGTAAAAGTCCAGGCCTAATTCAATTCCTCCCACTGTAGAAATCCACTGAGATAATTGAAGCGACAGGTGAAGGAACATTAAGGGGAGAGAAGGAGAGCATTGCACTCCACAAACATCTGTTTGAGCCTCCCCTGTGCTGATATTGACAGAGATTCATTCATAAATTCAAAATATATTCAGTGCTATGGTAGTGTAATGATCTTATGCGAGTGCTCTGATTAACAAATGTACTCTTTGATTTTGAAACAGTAGCCTTATTTTGTTATTATTTAGCCATTCTGAGGTGATCGCCAAGATGCTGCTCCGATAGTTCCGCATAGTGCAATTTAATCTACAAGGTAATTTATTCAAGCAAACTAAGTAGATTGATTAAAACACATATGTTATTTAAATTGTTTTATCAAGAGTCTTATAACGGGTAATATTTATACCAAAATAAGCTGTATATTCAGATTTATTGGGAGAAACCAAGCAATTCCCAGTAAAATCATATATTCAGCACCCCCTATAGCCAGAATGGAATGATCCTTTGTTTCATAACCACATTTTCCCACCACTACAATGATTCAAATGTCAGATGTGCAGTGGAATCAGGCTCCTCAGATCATATGAAATAGTCAATTATTGTGGGTCACCCCTAGAAAATAGATGTCATCGTCATCGTCTCTATACCTTCAAACCTTCCTTGAGGTGTAGAATCACCCTTTTACAGAAGTAATATTGAGCATGTCCTCAATGCAACATTCAAAAATTGTCAGCAACAACTCAAACCTCATTTCACCCTAAATCTCACTTAAGTCATTTGAGATTTGAGCCTTTTCCCGACTGTAAACAGGACAGATGGTTGCTTAGCCTCCTGCCATATGTATAGACTGAGGCATTCTGGACAATTATTCTAATTGGCTGCATTCAGTCTGACAGGCCTTATTAATGTCAAGCCCACTGGGATAAGACAGCACTGATAGTTTCCTGCTGTAGGTGGTCTGGTGTATCCCAGAGGAGGAGATGGAATGACTGAAGGCTCCTCTCCACAGCAGTGGATGACTATGTGTCAGATGTGATATTTGACACTGTACAAAACTGCTGAGCAGCAGCAGGGACAGTCGCTATTATCAAGATCATCTATGTGTCAAGGTAAACTGAGACACTCTCTTTTGTTTCTATAACACGGCTGACTTTACCCACACTGCTGAGATGTCAGAGATATAAAAGGACTGTAGAAGCAACAGACATTTCAGGCTAGAAAACCTCCCTCAGTCTGGATTGCTATTTTCGAAAAAGGGCATCTGGTCTAATGCTTCTCCGTAGAAGAGAGGAGTTCTGCTCAGGTGCAGACACACTAAACATGCTTCCTCTAAAAAGATGTTTAGTAAAACACAGAATAAGCACACTGACAAGCCTTACTTCAAACAGTTACTCAAGAACCGATCTGTGTTTGATCCGATCTACAGTCACCCCATTGTGGTCGCATATACAATTTTAGATTTGCCCAGCGGCCCAAGACCAGCAGCAACCTTGTCCTCGTGAGGCGTGTGCCACTGTGATTATGACTGAAATGATAGCAGTCTTGCCAGGAGTGACAGGGTAAAATAGATTTACTAAGTGATCACTCTACTTAATGCATTCCCTAACCTCTACCAGAGTTGTCATTAAGTCTTTTGGAGGAAGTCAAAGTCCAGTCTCAAGTCATTTATAAGTCTAAAGTTGTCAGAGCAAGTATCACGTTTTTTACAGTAAGTCTCTACTTATTTAAGACAAGTCAAGGTCAAGTCTCACATCTGACAGTGCAAGTCTGAAGTCAACATATGAAGGCTCGTCTGGGATCTGATTGACCAGGGTTGGATTCGTGTAGTAAAGTTGGCTCTACTGGTTGAAATTGCCTTGATGTGCAGAGACTGATTTCAGGATCAGTAGTAACCTTGTAGGCAAGTCTCCTTGTTTGATAGTGAGGCGTGCAATGTGTGTGTTTGGGAGACATGGACGAGTGTGCTGTGTTCCTGTTGTTGGTTAATGTGAGCAGCTGTACTGATTAGTGTTCCTGAGGTGTGTGTTTTTGTCACTGAGCTGTGTTATGCTGGTGATTTTTGTGGCACAGAGTTTGGGTGGTTCGATATACAGTGTGATTAAATTGCTGTTGTTCTGTCCCTGTTAGGGTTAAGAGCGGATT